GTAAGCTTGAATCACCAACTTCGTGGTTCAAACTGACATTGCCAATCCAGCGCATTAGCACGCAGCGCCACACCAGGACTCCATAGTGGCCAAGAATTCTGTGTTGAGCATGCAATACCAGGCTTTCATAACTTCTTGTTGCTCCAGGCTGCCTGGTACCAGTATCCCATCCCAACAAATCTTGTCGCTTTTTGTGACCCGATATCACTTGACATTCTGTAATAGCTTGATGTCACCTGACATCTGTAATTATACTCAACTTGCGGGTCTCTCATGGTTGCAGGCAAAAGGACCCTAAAAAGGATAGATTCTCCAGCAGGTAGCAAGGGTAGGTCTGAATTTGGTTTGTGACACTGTAGGATAAGCACTGGACCACCAAGTCAGCTCCAACCCCAAGGCTGGCAGTTCAAACTGACCAGCTGCTCCTTGGAAACAAGCCAGGGTTCCGCTATGAGTTAGAACTTACTCGATGGCACTTTATAGTAACAACAATATATCACTGCCCAACTCCCTCCTCAGTAACAGTTGACGTTCAAGAAATGGGTACTTGGAATGTGCCAGTGTCAGGTACAAATGTGCCTTTGATTCAGTTCTAACTCATAGCGACCCTGTGTACAAACACACTGCTCGGTTCTGCACCATCCTTACAATTGTTTTGTTTGAGCCTGTTGCTACTGCCACTGTGTCGGTCCATCTTGTTGGAGTCTTCCTCTTTTTCACTGATGATCTTCCCCGTTTCCAAGCATCGCATCATGACCTTCTCCAGGACTGCTGCCTCTTGATGACATGTTCAAAGAACGTAACACACCATTCTTGCTTTACTTCTTCCGAGAAAGATGTTTTTGTGCTTCCTGGGGGTCAATGATATATTCAGTATTCTTCACCAACATAATCATTTAAATTCATCAATTCTTCTTCAGTCTTTCTTCTTCACTGTTCAGCTTGCACATGCCTATGAGACAATTGAAAATATCAGGGCTTGGGTCAGGCACACTTTGAGGACTCAAGTGTTCCCAACCCAAGGTTGTGCCTGATCCCACGTCATTGCCATGTGGACCCCACTGTAAGAATGGACAAAGTATCAGTATCCTGGGGGCGATGTAACTACTCTAAACAGGTGACATGAAACAGCAGATGTTTATTCTCACCTTTCTAAAGGATAATCTGTTCTGTGCCTCTCTAGCTTCTGGTGGCTGCCAGCAACCCTTGGTGTTCTCATAAACCCAGATCTTGTACCAGGATGATGTCTTAGGCTGGGTTCTCTACAGAAGGAAAACCAATGCAACTTTTTTGTTAAGGTTTTTATTGTGGATTGAGTGAAACTTTTCAGGGCAAATCAGCAGTTTTACATTCAACAAATCATACACCTTGTTTCATCACAATGATTATAATCCCCTCCATGTACCATCAGTTAACAGTATTTCTCTCTATTCACTTTAGCTCTTTTTTTTAAAACACTCAGGCATATTTAATAATTTACACCACCAAAGGGCACATTCTGCAAGTCTGCCTGCTGGCCACCAACTCTCAATCCCTCTCTTTCCATGAATCTAGAGTCCTCAGCTGCTCCCTTTCTCCATGTCCCCATCTCTGCCTCCATCACTGGTATCGCTGCTTCTCTGGATAAGGTCCCACATTCTGTTTGTGCTCTTCTCCCTTGATGGTCCTAGGATCCTCTGTTTCTGGACTGTAAGATTAACTACTACCCTGTTTTTGTTACAAAACTTCTACCTTTACAATTATGACAGTTACAATTAGTCATGATAACAATTACTCACTACTGAATCATAAGAATCTTATCCCCATCTCTTTTAACCAGACCCATCTAGACAGGACGAAAACCATTCAGTCCCCACACACTATTAAACTAAACTCCCCCCTGAAACCTTGTAAGCCAGTCACTTCATGCCTTTATCGCCCCCTCATTTTAGGTAGCCAATGTCTAAGTTGCCCATCCCTATCTACCCTGTGTACAGAGGGGATAACATTGATACTTGATGTGAAGACTCCTTGCCTCTCTGTTGGCATTTAGACTTATTACCTCCATGAGTATAGGTCAAGTTCATCAAATTGTAGCAATCTACCTTCTTTTCCTTTATCAAAAAACAATTTTTTTTTTTTTTAAATCTTCCTCTAGTTGAGTTCCGATCATCAAGCCACTGGGGCTAGGTCAAATGGGTAGTATCTGCAAGTTTGGGTGTTCTTGTGTACCTCCTCACACTTCATATCAGCTGGATGCTTCACTCTCAGCTATAGCCCTCAGTGCAAATGTATATAGAGAGAGCCCTGGTGTGGCACTGTGGACTGTGTCAGACTGCAAAGTCATTTGAACTGCAAGGTTGGTGGTTCAAGCTTACCAGCTGCTCCTTGGAAATCCTATACAAGGTTTCTATGGGTCAGAATTGACTCGATGGCACTTAACAACAACATATATATAGGAAATGGCTCATAATTGTAGAGATAGGAGCATCCCAAGTGCAGGCCAGGTGAACTAAGATCACCAGGCGGGCCCAGATGGCAGGAATCCCAAATCGGAGTACAAAACAACTCCTCGGAGCTGGAGCATGGGCAACAGCAGGGTGACGGTTGTCAAGCAAGGCCTGGGCAGGTGCACTGCAGAACTGAGGACGCAGAGCAGAGGAACAGATGTGCAGGGCCCTCCCAGTGGGTGTCAGGTTTTCCAGGCAGACACACAATAGAGCAGGCCACTGGCTCAGGTTCAAAGAACTAGAAGTCAGAGGACCACCCTGATTGATAAGAGATCCAGACGGAGCACGGAAGTCGTTCCTATATGTCCATTATATTGGGAGAAAGCCACACCTCCAAGGAAACATTCTTTCAGTTGATTGGCTGCTCATAGCCAATCAGCATAGAGTTAACTACCAGCTTTCAAACAAGTGGGACTCCTGGCTCAGTGAAGTGGACGCAGAACCAAAGTATCACAGATGACATTCCTCTCTGTTGCCTCTTGGGGTTGTTGCGAAGGCTAAATAATATACAAAAAGCCCCTAAAACACTATTTGGTTTAAAATGTTTATAATCTAGGGACGTTTTCGTTTGCTTCCAATCTGACCATGATTTTTGTCTCTTATTATACCTTTTCTGGATTTTCTAATTGACTTAATTGACTTTTTTTCCTTGTTGGCCAAAGAATAATTGTGTGGTTTTCACTGTGTTCTGAAAGCTAATAAGTGTTTTTATCATATTCTCTGGTGCTTGGAATTTACTTTACTACTAGAGCTATCCCTCCTGGCGTGGCACTGTACGATAAGCACTGGACTGCTAACCACAAGGTTGGCAGTTCAAACCCACCAGCCACTCTTCAGGAACCCTGTACAGGGTAGCTATGAGTTGGAACAGACTTGACGGCACTTAACAATAACATCAACATCTCTCTGAGCCCGGGGCCTCTGCTCCGTTTATCCCAGGCATGTTGCTTGGCAGTTACCTTGAGACGTTGTTCACGCTTTACTGACTCTTGGTTTCTTGGTTCTCATTCATTTTTGCTGGAGTATATGAGAGGCGGCGTCCTGGTGTGACACCATAAGATAAGCACTCAACCTCAAGGTCGGTTTGAACCACCAGGTCGACAGTTCAGGCTCACAAGTCGCTCTTCAGAAACCCTATTCAGGGCTGCTATGAGTCGAAACCAACTGGACATCAACAACAATGATGTGAGAGGCAGGCCATTCCTTTGGTGCTCAGCATTTCTTAGAAGTCTGGTGTCCATCCCACCCTTCTTCAATCTTGGATGGCCTGTGATTGTAATTTGTTTTTTGCTCCCTCTCTATTACATTTTGGGGTCTTCTCTTTGTATGTAGTGTTTTGGCACAATAGAAGTCATCACACAGGGATTTTGATTTGAGTACCCACTACTGCCAACCCTTTCTGTGTGAGTTTCCCACCTCTTCCTTCCTTTCTTCCTTTCCTTCATTCTCATTACCTGTCTTCTCTCTCATCCTCTGACAGATGTTGTTACTAAGCACTGTTGGGTTGGTGCCAACTGTTAGCGACACTATATAAAGTTTCCAAGTATAAATCTGTATAAATCTTTGCAAGAGCAGAAAGCCTCATTTCTTTAATAACTTCCTTCCTCTATTGTTTTCTGTGCTCTCCCTTGACACCTTTTGTTATTTTGAGATGTTAACAATCCTGTATTCATTCCCTGTGAGAACCTCCTCTTTACACTGCTCCCCCACCCCAATATAAAGCAGTAGAGATGAGATAGCACCAACATGTATTCACCACGGCATTGCCAGGAGACAGGGAACAAACACTGTGAGACCTTTTCTGGAATACTTCCTTAAGTGTCTTTTCAGCATTTCAATGGAATTTTTGTTGGATCGAACTATAATTTTCAATTTCCAAACATTTAGAAATTGTTCCCTACATGCACTTTCTATGGTCTCCTTTTGCTTTATGCATAAAATTTTGTCGCCCATTCCTCTGAGAAGATTAGAATTTTTAATGTCAACATTCTCTTCTGTGTCCTGGCCCACCTCCTTTCTTCTAGAGTCAGTCTGGTGGTTGATCTTGACCTTCCCCTTTTAAGTTGCTGGTCTAATTTGGCTGGCGGCTCATCCTTGGGTGTCTGTTTACATATTTGAGGCTGATGGACTTATTTGATGTGTTTTCCTTTGCTGTGGATAAGTGGGCCAATGTCAAGGACTGGCGATCAGCTTTAGAACCTGCAGTGAAGAGGAAGCAGATAAAATACAAAGGGGGCTGCACTCTGGGGGACAGGATCTCAGCTTGTTCTCCCTGGGTGATTGGGGTCGCTTCCATGGTTCAGAAGTTTGCCTCCGTAGATACTGGCTTCTCTGTTGCTCCCAGCTGTGGCACCCGTGGCAGAATTCACCGCCCAGTCCGGTTGTGCCTGGGTTGTGGTCTAATCACGAAGTGGTGCGGTGCCCTCCAGCAGAAGGGCTGGGATGAGCCAGGGAGAAGGGGTGGGTCCGAGCGCTCCACTGACATTGTTCTGCCTTCTGTCCCGCCCACAGGTGAAAGGCCCTTTGCCTGCAGCTGGCAGGACTGCAACAAGAAGTTTGCTCGCTCCGACGAGCTGGCGAGGCACTTCCGGACCCACACAGGGGAGAAGAAGTTCAGCTGCCCCATCTGCGACAAGCGCTTCATGCGCAGTGACCACCTGACTAAGCATGCCCGGCGGCACGCCAACTTCCACCCGGGCATGCTGCAGAGGCGCGGGGGCGGCTCCCGGACCGGCTCCATCAGCGATTACAGCCGCTCCGATGCCAGCAGCCCTACCATCAGCCCTGCCAGTTCGCCCTGAGCGCCCAGAGCTGGGGGTGGTCTGCTGGCACCACTCAGCAGAGCCTGCTGCCCAGCTTCCAGTTCGGATCCTGCTATCGATCAGCTCTGCCGGTTTGGGCTTCCCACCTCCGAGCCACCAGAACTCTGCTGCCTCTGGTCTGAGTGAACCTGCTACAGCCATGAGTTTGTACTTCCTCGTGTGACTCCTTCCTTGTCTTTTCATTTTGTACTAAAAAAGAAGAGAGAGAAAACTTTATGAAAACTCCACAACAACAAAAAACAATTTTCTTCTCCTCAGGTGTCAAAGTAAATTTGTTTAAAAAAAAAAAAAAAACAGTAAAAAAAATTCAAACGCCACCACACACAGATTGCACAATAGGACTCTTAGCCACGAGGCTGAAGTTCAGCGGTGTTGAACCCCCTTTCTCAGGGATGGACAGGTTTCGCAGGTCAGCGATGGTTCCCTTCCTGCCGCCTTACTCTGGATAGACCTTTGCACTCTGGAGGTTTCTGCTGGGTTCAGGAACACATTGGGGACAACAGACAGACCAGGGCCAGCTGGAGTTGGGCACCTGTCTAGTAGGTCAGCTGCCCAGTCAACCCAGAGCATCTATGCTTCAACAGCCAATTTCTGTGTGCCCAGCCTCAAAACCCTGCCCTGGAGGCCCAGCTGGGTGCAGAAAACAGACATTTCTGAGGAAAGGACACCTCAGAGGGATGCCTTAAGCCACGGCAGGCAAAAGGAATACTCACCTCGAGGATTTCTGAGGCATCTTCCTTCACGAGGTCTGTTCTTCCTGTCTCCAGAACCCTCTCTTGGGCCTCTCAGAGAACTTGAAGCAGAAACTCGTGTCCAATGGGACATCACTCACTGCTGAGGTGATGCTGCTCAGCCCGTTGTCATCCAGGCCGCCCAGCCTCATCACCATGGCTTCCAGGACTCATAGACACAGGAGAGTGGTCCCGACAAAAAGCAGATGGCCCTGCTGCTGAGGTCCCCTTGGTCCGCATCACCAGAGGGCTGTTTGTGGGGGGCACATACACATGCTCAGTACTCGGCAGACATCCTTCTGTAGCCAGAGACTGGAGCAGTGTGAGCCAGAGCCGTGCTGTGGCGGTAAAACGGATGTCAGGAAAACGCTGTCTGTGAACGTGCATTGTTTCTTGCCCAGGAAATAGCAGGTGGAGGGTTGTGGGAAGCGCTTTTCTTAGACCTAAAAGGTCAGACTTAGTCTATGTGGCATCCCCGGCAGCCTCTTTCCTCCCCACCTGCTTTTCCAGGCTTGTTTAAAGCAGGTTAGACTCGAGTGCCTACGGCAAACCCTCATTAAAGGAACAGCAGAAAGCCAGCCGGGACAGCTCCCCAAAGTCCTGACCTGGGACACCTGGGGCTCCAGGCCTTAGGCCCCAGCCTCCTTGCTTTGCAGAAAGTCAGGCCGGAGTCTTTCAGCATTGCTCCCCAGAAGCAATCCCCCACCCCATCGCCGGAGTCTGCGTCTCTAGGAGTATATCTGTGTGTGTGTTTGTGTGTATGTGTTTGCGCATGGATGTTGGGCAGACTCAGGATATTTTGTAGGCCTTGGGCCCCCAGATGGGTGTTCTGGACCCAGAGTGCCTTGGCTGCACCTGCCCTGCTTCCCCACCCCACCCGCCACATGAGGGGATCGTAGCACAGACAAGATCCCAGACACCACAAGCACAGCTAAGGCCCACAGCTCATGCATGACAGCTGCTTCCGGCTTGCCCCAGCGTAGATGAGCCCCTCTGATAAAAGTGGCCGGAGTGTCCCATTTTAGCTCCGAACGTGGGAACAGGGATGGACTGTGGCGTGGTGGCTGTGAGCAGACAGCCCCGTAGGTATTCTTTCTGCTACTAGACTAGGTGGGCGGTGGAGTGAATAGGAGCGGGGTGGGCAAAACAGGTAACAGCCTTGCATGCCCTTTGCCCAGGAGAGAAAGAGTGCAGCCAAGGAGAATGCTGGGTGCTTGGAGCTCAGAGATCTTTGTACCCAGTTCCAAAGCGAGCCCCAGAAGGGGCCTTAATGTTTCCTCCCAAAGTTGTTTCCCTGTGAAGCAGAGAATGCTACACACTTAATATATTTCATGTCTCAGGAACTCATATTCCAGGTTTTGGAATTCTATTCCAAAGTCCTTTGGTGCAATCACCATCCATGGGTCTCCAGAAACCGGGGAGCTGTCCCGCGGAAGCAGCAGGGCCTTCTCCCCAGGAGGGGCAAGGGCTCCTTACAATCTGCCTGAAGTCACTGGAAGAGATTTTGCACCCCTCCTCTGTCTGCGCATGGGAAAGAGAAAGGACAGAAACCAAGTCATCTTGAAATTAAAGAAACACTGGTTTGTTTTTGATGGGAGGGTAGGGTGGGGGTGGGCTAAGGAGAGGGGGCATTTGCTGTTTCCAAAAAAAGCATTTAATTTCTCCTTTCAGCGACCCAGGGCTGTCTGACAAATGGGGGGTACAGTTGCCTTAAAACAGAAGGATGCGATGTGGGGTCATTCTTTGCAAATGAACATCATCATCATCATCACAAACTGGCTCTCTTAATGGGGGGTACAAAAGTCCCTCTGCAGTGTCCTGCCCAGGAGGTGAGCCCAAGATGGGTGAAGTGCCCTCAGATTGGGGCATCTTGAGGGACTTGGCCCTGGGAACTGTGGAATCATCTGGGGCTTAAATTCATGTCACTTGAAAAGTGGAAAAAAATCTGAGCATTCCAGATTAAGTCAAAATGGAGTTACCTCAACACGTTCCCACCTCAGATATGTGTGTCTGAGCAGCGCCTCAGGAAAGGAGACCTGAGCAGGCCTTTGCTGGGAAGCAGTTAGTCTGGGCCTCTCCTGAGAGGGCTTGTGGTTTCTCCGGAGGTGTAGAATGTTCTTCTCAGCCCAGGTCTATTTCTGAGTCTTCCATGTTTTGCTTTATGGCTGTACTTTCTGGTTTCATTGAGATTGAGGGACCATGGGACCTGCAGGAATAAGAAGGAAAAGTGATCCCATGATGCTGACAGCCTTCAGCTCTAGCAGGCCAGGCTGCTGAGATCTCAAAGTGCGGGGGACAAAAATGACGTGAGAGTTCCCCTCCAAGTGACCTTGGATGCTTCCTTCAGGGGACTGCTGTTCTACTTGGGACCCAAACGAGAAAGCCTGTTTGCATCAACTATAATAGGGGCTCCCCAGAAGCCTACAGAACCCGATAGCCATACAAGAACCCCAGCTCTCCTAGGTGCTCTGTGAAAGCAATGTACATGTGGTTTTAGGGACCTGACCCACCCCCCTACACCCACTGCCCGCCACTACCTGTCACGGCGTTCCCGCAGCGTCCTGAGCTGCAGAGTCGCCTGGGTGGAGCTCCTTTAGCGAGCTGGCAGGGCAGCCTTCCCCATATGCAAGGCTTTGTCCCACATCCAAGCGCTGCGGCACTGGGGCCATTCCTGCCTGGGGTCACAGCCTATAAAGAGCATCAGGTCCAGGTGGGGAGGTGGGCAGGGGGCCTCGGACGCTCCCAGCTTGCCTTCTGGAATTTGCACAGAGGGTGGTGACTGCCCAGGGTCTGAGTGAAACCTGGCTGAACTGCAGTTCTGTGCCCACCTTTTGCGCTGTGGCTTTGGTTGCAAGCAGCAGGTACTAAAAAGAACTGTGTTCACTGAGAACCCCATGCTCAGAGCAGAACACCCCTGACCTTTCTGCCCCAGTTTTGGCTGTGTTTACAAGGCTACCCAGGTCTGAATTCTGACGGTGTCACAGGTGTATATATATTTTTAATCTATTTAGAAAAAGTCATGTCGTTGAACAGTGCCAGCCAGTTTGAAGGGCCTGCCTTGTTGTTTGTGTCACTGATCATAGTAAGAAATAGGAAAAAAGTGCCGCTTTGTATGACCTACAGGCCACCTAAGGATGTTCCCAAAGCTGAGACTTGAGGATGTGGGCTAGCCACATCTGGGAGAGCCACGCCGTAGACCAACATTCCTGATTTACAAGCTGGGTTTCAAGGGTTTGTCCTAGACACTACCAGAATTCAGAAGCACAGCCCAGCTTACTAGCGGTAAATACCTGGGCGTGCTGTAGGCCTCTCTCAGTCACCACCCCGTCCCGTTCTTCCTCAGACAGCCGAACTTCGCAGGGAGTGGGAGCTTTGGGTCCAGGATAGAAGTTGCCGCTGCTTTGCAGTACAACCACCTGATCCTCATCTCGCCTTCTCACTGAGCTTTAAAACTACCACCCTGCCCTGTATGTCACGTTCCCTGGGGGTGGGGGGTGGGGCAATGGAGGCTGCTTGCTCCCAGGCGTCTGTTGTCCCTGGGGTCTCTTCCAAGAGGCCATATCGACAGGCCCTCATGCACACCCATTTAGAAACCAGATATGCAATTACATGCCTACAGAGAAAAGCACTCCAAGCACAGGCTGCCTTGTAAGAGGAAGGTGCTGCTCTCAGTGTCTCCCAGACACCACACTGGGGGGGCTGGCACGTCATCCATCCAGTGTCCATTGCCAGGGTCAGAGCGAGGGGTTCACTGCCTGAGGACTAGATTGCCCCATGTGAGGTGTCTACTGAACAACTATGCATTGCTGAGGGTGGGGTTGTGAAGCTCCTCCGTGACCAGAACTCACCTGTGTGGCTGCATTGAGGGGTCTCAGCCCCCATGCTGCACAGACAACCCTTCTCCGTTCAAAGCCATTGACGGGAGCTTCTGTGGAATCATTTGCCAAAGTGCAAAGGCAAAATACAAGGGTCCAAGACCATTTCCACCAATCATGTTTTCCTTTTCTGGTTTCTTCCCTAACCAGCACCACTGCATACTTCTGAAGGCCACATTTCCTCTTTCACGGATCACTACAGTGAAGTATTAACAGTTGTACAGTTTCCAATCTGGCCTTGGCTTGCTCGGATGAAACTTTGTATGTATTTTGTATGGCATAGATTCTATATTGTAATGTCCTATGCAAAAAGGAAAAAAAAAATTAACAGAATTGTAAATTTTATCATTTTAACGTATATGCATGTTTAGTAATGTTTG